TAGTTGACTTATATTTCTGTCCTCTGATAAGTTTGCAGACACTTTCGATCATTGTCTTTTTGTATTTCTTATTGGGTTTAATTTCATTTTGATCCGTTTTCTACGCCTTATTACACCTTTGCAGTTTATTTAAATTTAGAAAATATTTTCAAATGGTAAGAATTTTTTTTAAAGGTAATAATAATTCAGTGGTAAAATTTTTACTAATTAACCCATAGAGAGGGAGAAGTGTATTCATTCCTTTCCCAAGTGTAATTGTGCGTAAGTGAATATAACGAACCCAGTTGGAATTGAAACTCGACTCACCGATTAACATCTCTGATTAAGCCTTAATTGTGTTTGAATAACTGAGTGACTGAGTGTGTGATCCATTTATCTTATTGGTCAAATCTCGCATTTTTTTCGGTAAGTTAACGTAACTGGTATTTCTGTCACGGTTAAGATTGTCGGGTATTTCTAATGCTAATGAGGGGTTTATTTGTTTTTGTTTATTTATGATATATGATTGTACATAATCTTTGGGTAAAATCTTTAATGCTATGTACTTTTAATTCATCCCGATGAAAATTGAATATATGGAACCAGTTAGAAATCCAGAAACTACAGTATTATGGCTTCCATTGAAAGACTGCATTATACACGAGATATTTCTGTAAAAGAGTAGATTGCTTAAGTGAATGAAAATTTTGAGTTGATGGATCAGTGATTGTGTCTAGCTACATTAGCGATAGAAGAGTAAAGACCAACCCCCGCCTATCCCATGTAATCCATGTGCCACGTTTGTACATTGTAGTATATATATATATGTATATATAGGTCTATGTGCTTACAATCTCTAGGCATATTAAAACAAATTAGACTAACTAAAAAATCCATTTTTGCCCACTTCTTATAAGGTGTAGATATAGTAAACAGATGAAAGAAATTCGATAGATAAAAAACAACAATAATAATAATGATAATAAAATAATAATGTTTATTGTATATTATTATGCAAAAAACTAATAATATAAAATAATCATTATTAGACAAAATAGAATAATGATGAGAAACGATATTAATCTGATTTAATCTGATTTTCACGTACGTCTTTGTCATCTATCTTCTCTTCTTTTTGTTTCTTTCATTCATATTATCACTGAAATGTAGGGTTTCTCATACATTGTTTTCGATCAAAATTCGAACTCGGCTCATCGAATTCCGAACTGCTACCCATTACACTACGTACACGCCATGTTTATAAATGCCCAACATTCTAGTCGACTAATGTTTTTGAGCCAAATCCTCGACGTAAATTTACCATAGTGTACTTTCAATTGATTTTAGTCTTTATAAATTACTCTTTTTTAATTAATACTGATTTTTTTTAAATTTAATTTAATGCCGGACCTATTATGAAGAAAGAAAAACGCCCTGAGCATTTTGATTTGTAAGATCCTCTTTTATGCTCATAATCTTTTATTTAAATTTCGTTAGCGATTTGAGGTTCTTACTCGGAACAAAACGCATCACTTATGAGCTTTTTTTTTTTTTTTTAATCTTTCCATTATTCATTTATATATTTCCTGAGGAATGTTTACAGTTTATTTGATAAAGTTCTGCTTCCTTTTTAGTCGTAATTGTTTTAATTATTTCATTGTTTTAAAATAGTTTTAACAAATTTATAATTCGTATTAGATTTATGTCTTGGAATAGGTTTAATTTTAGATTTAGTTTTTAGGATTAATATTCGTGTTAGTGTCGAATCATAGCCTCTGATAGGCTTCAGATTAGGTTTGAACAAGTGCCTGCCTCAGGGGTTAGATTTATGTATTCAAAGTTATTGTTAACGTTTAGTACTGTCAAATTTTGTTTTGATATAGAGCTTGGTTCTAGCATTAGGCTTCTGTTTGTGATTAGGCTCATGTTTCAGTTTACTCTTATGGTCAGAGCTTCATTTTTCTGTATGCGGTTTATGCTAAAACTTTAAGCTTAGATTTAGGGATACGGTTATTAGAGGTTAGTTTTTGTTTAGTGTAGTCGACTGGTAAACAGAATTTTACCTATGTAAAGTAAAAGAAATATAACGTTTATGGTAAACTAAGGAAAGGGCGGAAGTTGAATATCAGGTAGGACAACATAATATCGCGTTTAGAAATAACTTCAAGGCTTTAGTTGCAGTTAAAGTTAGGGTTTGATTTCATATTCTGAGTTTATAATATATTTAGTTTGAAATGTATTTGTTTACGGTGGGCGTTTAAAATTAATGTTTAAGTTGCTGCGATGAACCAGGATATGTTGAGACTTGGATCCGGTGTTTTGCAGCCAAAGCCAGGACTAAAAAAATTAAAAGATAACCATGCAAGACGAGGAGAAAATAACTGACCACTTTCTAACTTCAGCAGGTGGTGAAGCTATAATGAAAATTTCCGTTGATTTTAGTCTTTATAAGTTACTCTTATAAATAAAACTGAATTTTTGAAATTTAATTTATTGCCGGACCTATTACGAAGAAAGAAAAACGCCCTGAGCATTTTGCTTTGTAAGTTCCCCTTTTATGCAATTTTTTAAACAATTGTAGAATTAGACTTTAGTCGAATTTTCAGAAATTATACAAAGAAATTTACGACCTAAAAAGAAACTTGTCATAGCGGAAAGAACCAAAATTCTGTCAATTAAACAGAAACAAATTGCTTCAATTATGCAATATGGTCATAGATTAAGAGAAACTAGCAAATTCTGCGAAATTGAGAGACTTGGAACTCAATATCTGGCTGTTGAGGATGAATGACAATTGATTGAAGGTATGGCTAATGTTTCATAAATATAAGATGTTGGGACAATAATTTATCTCTAAGTACATGTGAAGTTATACAATTTGTTAAAAATATAATTCTGCTGAGCACCATGTTTAAACGTACAGTGTAAAAAACGGTGCGCAAGAAATGCAGATAGTATAACTATGAACATGAAAATGACAGAAAAAAATGGGCCTATTTTGGAAAATTTGCCATGACTACCGAAGAAAAAAAATCATTTTCAGTCTGTACGCAAAGTTAAAAAGAAAATAGTATAGAAAAAAATGGAAAAAGAGAGAATTGATGACGTTTTTTTCAATACAAGGACCTAAGAAAAAGAATTCATTTAAAAAATAATTAAATGGCATGTTTCCAATACAAGTGGATACGGGGAGTGAAGTCATTCCGTTCCCAAGAAATTGCTGGAAACAAATGGGTAAACCGAAATTGAGAAAACGTCATCTGAAGTTGAAACAATTCAATGGATATTTTATAAAAAAAAAAAAAAAAAAAAAAAAACATTGAAGTAGTCGCAGAAAAATCTATTGTAAAATCATTGATCCCAGAAATGAAGTTACGTTAACTACGGATACAAGTGCGCGAGTTGTGTCAGCAATTTTATCGCAAGAAGGCTATCCAATAATGTACCTTTCAAGAAGATTGACGGCAGCACAAACAAATTATTCAAATACTGAAAAGGAGGCATTGGCAATTTCTGGAGCACAGTCACTGCTCAACAATTCTTATTAGGTAAAAAAATCTTATTAATGTCGGACTATAAGACTCTAGAGTTTTCTTTTTACCCTTAGAAAAGAGATGTAAAAAGTTAATCCTTACAGGATTCTAAGATGGGCCATAAAATTAATGGTTTGTGATTTTGACATTAAGTAAGTGAGATGAAATACAATACAACATGTCGATGCACTGTCAAGATTACAATTTATTAAGGATCAACAAGAAAAATGTGGAAATCCTTGATGAAGAAATATTACATTAGGTTGAAACTGACATTATCTCTACAAAAATTGGTATCGGAAACTCTACAATTAAAAAAAATAGAAACATTACTAAAGATCGGTAACAAAGAAACAGTAACCAGGAAGACAGTAGATAGCGATTGACATTTTTAAAATTTAAAGATTACTGGAAAATATGGTACCGGAAGAGAGTTCTACAAGAGAGACATGCGAGATAAGAAATTGTTAGCATGAAATTTGCAGTTAAATCTAGGAATCTCAATTGTAAATTGAGGAGACTGTCTCCTGTCTAGTATTGCGCTTAAATTTATAATGCCTAGGTGCCACTGCGAAGAGCAATATTTATTCTGTTATCTACAGAAATGTGGCACAAGGCCGAAAAGGGGATTGGGAAAAGGACGGTCTTCTTCTGTCTTAACTATAACTTAGCTAGCCGCAAGCACTGACCCAATCGTACGAAACAATATTCCTTACACCAAAACAACACATTCATACGTACCTTTCTTACTACAACCACCATAATACCACTTTGACTCTATGAAAATACTAACTAGTCCCCATATTTACAATTCGATGTCTTTGCGGGGAGAGGGGAATAAACAACAATTCTAAAAGTTAACCCCAATGAGTGTTTACAATGAATACAAAAAACTATTTATTTGCGAAGAGCTGACCCGAACAATTACTATGTAAGTATTTATAGACAATTTACAGAGAGACAACTTTATGGTGGTGGGAAAGTGTCTGAAGCTGAGAAACCAGATCCGGATCAATAATTTTGCTGATTCTTCTTTGGATTTTATCAATGCTCTTTCAATATAAAGCAATGTTTGGATTACTGTTAGTCCTAGGATAATTTTGAAGTTAGGTTAAATTTTGGGTGTAGGGTCAGCTTTAAATTTATTTTTTAAAGTTACGCGAGAGCTTTTAAACACATAAAGAGTGCGTTAGGTATTTGAGAAGCCATTTTTTTTAAAGCTACAAGTGACCAACTTTAACAAAAAAATTCTTGCCTCTATTTTTTTTCAGCCCGGCCATGAAAGCAACGACCCAAACGCAGGCGATGAAAACTCATGACTGTTTCGTGGATTTGAAGATAGACGCTTTCTTAATTGTCGCTTGGTGTTTTGCGTTAAGATAAGAAAAGTGTACTAGGCCTCTGGCAAGAATATCTTTTCAGGCAACAAAAGAAATATTCTCGACGTGCAAGTAGTGAGTTCAAATTTCACTGGGTTCTTCTTCTTCTATGTGCCGGGTTAGTTTCAACCAGAATCATTCGCTAACCATTATACTATGTCAAGGCCACCCAATAAAATACGGCCACGCTGATTGCTCGGTTATTTCAGGCAAATCTTTATTCACCTACCCACTCTCTCTATCGCTCTTACGTCTATATCCCTTCTTCTACCTTCTTCTATTTGTCTTACTTTCTCTATATCTCTCTCCTTCTCTATACCACCATTACTCTATCCTTTATGGTTCTCCATTTGTCTATATACATCTCTCTCTTTCGCTTGCGCTCTATTTTCTCCTTCTCCGTCCGCACTCAATGTCTATCAATATTTCCCTCTCTCTCTCTCTCTCTCTCCTCTCCTCTCTCCCCTCCCTCCTCTCTCTCTCTTTCTCTCTCCTCTCTCCCCTCCTCCCTCTCCTCCTCTCCCTCCCCTCCCCCTCCCTCTCCCCCTCCTCCTCCCTCTCTCTCTCCTATCTGTTCAGAACACTCTATATCTCTACTTCTTTCCCCATTTCATGGCCTTTCACTTCTTTAAACCCTCTCTCTATTTCTATATCTCTCACTCTCCTCTTTATTTCTCAATCACTCTCTATATATTTCCCCTTCTTTCTTTTCCTCTCTATCATTCTTCTTTATTATAGAACACTCCCTATCCCACTCTCTCTATGTGTATATATCGCTCTACTCTTCATTTCTCTATCGCTCTCTATACATTTCTCCTTTTCTCTTCCTCTCTATTTTTCTCCTTTATTATATATGTCTTCTTGTCCCATTCTCTCTTTCTCTCTCCCTCTCTCTCATTCCTCTTTGTTTCTCTATCGATCTCTATACATTTCTCCCTCTTTCTCTTCCTCTCTATCATTCTCCTTCATTATATATCTCTCCTTATCCCACTCTCTATATCTCTATCTATCTTTCTCTGTTCTCTCTCTCTATCTACCGTTTCTTCTGTTTTCTGCTTGTTCTGTTATTCTCTCTCTTTTCTTATCTCTCTTGATCTCTCTATTTCTCTTTTTTTAATTTACTGGCGGCTACTTTAAATTTGCTCCCATCTGTTCAGTCCCTGTATTTTTTTGTCTTCCTGTTTGTTTTACTAAGTAGATGAAAACAGTATCGAACCAGAAAAAAAGTCTTAGTTTTATTCTTAAATTGCTACTTCAATGGTTACATGACAGTCTGCGTTTTCGTAGGATGTGTGGAGGCTTAACAAACTACATTCTTCGTTGTTTTATAACGTTTTCTCAGTTACCGACTTTTAATTAGATTTACACCTTATTTAAGCATCTAAACTTATTAAAGTTTTTGACTGAATAGAATCGTCACACTATCTGGTACGTAAAAACACAGGTGATATACGAAGAGATTTTTTTTTTCATCTTCAGTCTTGCCGCCGGTTTAGATTCCTGTTTCATCTCAGACAACAAAGATCATTTCTCATAAAAAAATACGAACAGGGTGACTTAAGGACATATCACGTCAAAAAAACCGGTTCCAAACGATCACCGAAGTTAAGCAACCTCGATCCTGGTCAGGTGACCGCTTAAGAATACCAGGTGGGTAAGCTTGGGTGTGCGGGTGGTGTAATGAATAATGACTCGGAATTTTTAATGGGAGAGCCGAGTTCAAGTTCCATTTGGGTTCGTTGTATTCACTTATGAAAGTTATGAATCCAGCTCTTCTTCCCCCCAGATATGGATTAATTAGTAAGACATGTTTCGCTAAATCTAAAAAATTCTTACAATTTAAAAATATTTTCTGGCCTTAAATAACTTGCAATGCGTTAATCAAAGGTAAAAAAAAATGAATCAATCTTACGAATGGAGCCATTTAAAGGGTTAGGCTAAAGCATATTCTGAAATAGGCTATCTGACTCTAAAGACAACCACTATACGTGTTTAATTGTTACTTTTCCACCGGCGTAAGGATGCCTCATTTTCTTTTTTCTATGGAACCTTTTGTGGTAATTATCCGGATGTCCTCTTCGATATCGTGCATAGAATCTCCAAATTTAAGCGCAGTACGCGACTGGCAACCATGCCTCACCGATTTACATATGAGATGGCGAAATGTAACCGTAAATTTCTTTCTCTCGCACTTCTCGCTTATGGAACTCCCTTCCATTATCAGAGTTCACAATTGTGTGCGCCCTTGAGGTCGTTGAACAGTTTACAACTGTACAATCACTTTCCCACAGAAGAAACGTTGCCAAACTCTCGCTAGTCTATCTTTATATTCACTGACCGAGCAGCCTGTGGTCCTCGAGTTACACTACCTGGTCGTTAAACTCAGATCAAAGGGCCGAATCTGTTCCCCTCTTCCGTAATAGTAAGAAATACAGTTTCGTGACAATGAAACATTCGGCCTTCATTGACCGAGCAGCCAGGCTCCTCGAGTTAAACTACCTGGTCATGAAGTTAAGATCAAAGCGGAGTATCTGTTCTCTTCATCCGTAACTGTAACAAATACCGTTTCCTGGCAATGAAACATTCGGCCTTCATTGACCGAGCAACCAGGCTCCTAGAGTTACGCTACCTGGTCCTTAAGCTCAGATCAAAAGGCATTATTTGTTCTCCTCATCCATAAACAAATACCGTTTCCTGATAATGAAACATTCGGCCTTCATTGACAGTGCAGCCTGTCCTCAATTATGTTTTTCTTCACTCGAAAGCCATCGAACTGGGATCACCGTATAATATCTGTTTATCATCCTCTCATAGTCATATTAGTATGAGCGGTTTCTTTATAAGAAAAAATTCGCTATTCATTGACCATAAAGCCAGTGGTACTCGAGTTACGTTTTTATTCCCTGCATGACAATACACCGAGGTATTTGAAGAGTCTTTGGTAAATTTCGACGTTATCGTAAAAATGACTCTAAGTTGTTCAAACAATTATTTTTTGAATGCATCTAAAAAACGTTTTACCAATTTGGGTAAACAATGAACGTTTTGAATTTTTATTCATACAAAACTGAATTGGCATCCGTCTGTTTTTTGAGATAATGGAATCACTTTTAAGCCAATGACTTATACTTTTGTTTTTGTTATGCAAATATATAGTCAACAGAAAAATCAGCGACGCACACAAAAAGGTACGCATTTGTATTCCTGTATTTAAATGTATTTATATCCAATCCTTTTTAGCTCTGTACATATATACCTATACATATACGTATAAACAAATATAAAGATATATATGTGTCTGTGTTTCAGTCATATTCACATAATGTATATATATTAGTTTTTCAATAGCCTAAAAATGCACGCAATATTTACGTCTTTTTGCAATTGCTTTGATTATATTTTCTGTAGAAGTATTATAGAATTTATACGGTTAACTCTGTGGTTGTATCCAAGGAAGAAATCTTATTTTAAGTAACTGAGAATTGTTTATCAATATATATTAATATATATCATGTTCGATTATCAGCGTGTTTAAAGACCTACAGTTGGCATAATAATGAAATCTCCTTACCAAAAAGCGGACATGATATAAATTTACATTGTGTATTATACACACACACACATACATACACACACACACACACACACACACACATATATATATATATATATATATATATATATATATATATATATATATAATTGTATTTTTACCCATAAATCTATCTTCCATTCAAGATTCATTGAAGACGACTGACAAATTACAATGATTAAGCTTTTTATTAAATTTTTGATTGCATTCGTTCATTTATTTTCTTTTTGGGACATAGAGCTTGTTCAAATGATCTGTGGATTTCAACTAATCATTAACCATTACCAGGGATGTTTTATTGTTTAACTTTTTATATATATATATATATATATATATATATATTACGATATTGATATATATATATATATATTGTCACAAAGCCACCAGTCACAAATTGATAATATATATATATATATATATATATATATATATATATATATATATACATAATACTGATTTGTAATTTGTAGGATAATTCAAAGGAGGTTATTAATCTAGAGAGAACTCAATGTAAATTACAGAGCATAATAATAATAAGAATTCAATAAGAAAAGCATAATGATCCATTTCAGTTATAATTTATTTCGGGAATATTTCTATATATTCATCGCTTCAGACCGAAAGTTTTTAATAAATGGAGACAATTTCTCTCGACTGATAAACGAGATTAACAGGAGGAAGGGAAAGAAAGAGAGATGAGAAGAAAGGGGGAGAGGAATGAAAAAAATAACAGATATTCGAATATAAATTTCTTTATTAAACGTGAAATAGAGAAAGTGAGGAGAGAGAGAGCGAGTGTGTAAAGGAAGGGACAGGGAAGAAGGAATATATAAAGTGATCGGGTCCACAGATTTAAACACAAACATATATATATATATATATATATATATATATATATATATATATATATATATATACTGACAGGATCTATTTATGAAATTACGTTAAACGCTTTATCTTATTTGATACACATGTTTGAATAAATACCATGTTTTTGTTTTGTTTTTTTTTTTACCGTGAGAATTAAAACTAGCGGCTTATAACCTTGAGAGTCATAACAAATTATATGACACACTCTGAGACGTTCCGAACCTACATTCCTCTTCATAGGGGAAATGACCGTCTGATCTGGAGAGCTTCAGGCTATTTGGCCAAAGAGAACTTTACATCAAGGTTCAATAAACCTCTTACGGAATGCACACCATCTCAAGAGCCTTCATCTACTCGAAAGTTCATATCTGCTAACATTATTCTCGTATCGGAAAGGCAAACCAAGTAATTTTAAAGAAATTAAAGGATTTTATTTTTTTTAATCCATTAAGTATTGACTACCAACCACGAGATGAAATGTTTTTTTTTTTTTTTTTTTTTTATGACGCCGATAGATTGCTGCTCGTATTGAGGAATCGGGGAGCCGAGTTCGAGTTTTTTATGTCACAATTTTTCTGGCCTTGCGATCCTGATTACGAAGAGATTTCTCCTTGTTTTTAACGTAAGTAACTGCTACTGGCAGAAATAAAAAATCCTACTTACTTTTATGGGAAAATTTCTTCAAAACATTTAACGCATAAAAGGTTTTTTTGGTAAAAATGTTATCGCCTGTGTTGGTTAATCTAAAGTTGGCGTTTGAAGTTAAATTTACTTACTGACCTCTGCCAGTCAACGTAAAATACATTTTTTTTTATTTAGACACTTATTTGTACAGGCACCCTGTGTATTTTTATTTTGTTTTGTTTTTTTTGTTTTTTTCAGGATTGATAGCCTTTACTAGTATGCGTATTCGCGAGTCTTAATAGTATTATTGGTTTCCTCCCCTGTTTAAAATAATAATATCGTAATAAGAAATAATATCAGTTTAGAAAAAGAAGTGAAATCAAAATGAGATATGAATTTCTTAAAAGGATAATTGACGCAAGCCGGCCGTATTAGGAAGCTCTCTGTGGTTGAGTACTCTAAAGCATAGTCAATCAAATGGCGGTTTCCCTTAAAATGGGTGAAGAAGGTTCGAGCCCAGCCTGGTGTGTATATAATAGTTTTTTTATATCTACAAGAAATTCAAAAGAGCGAATTTCCTATCTCTGTGTAAATGCATATTCTGTTGACATCAGGAAAGTGAATTTTGCGTATTGTTAAACATGAGAAATTAATAATTTGTTAATCTCTAGGTATTTAACTTTATTGTAAAAGTAGAATTTAATTTTATATTTTAGATAATTTTTTGCATTTTTTATTTATTTATGATTACCACGTGTTTATTGTAATGTAATAAAGGGAACCACTGCGTAGTAATAGATGGCGGCTTGTATTGAGGAATCGGGGAGCCGAGTTCAAATTACAGTCGGGTCCACTTACATGCTAATACTCTTGGGAAAAGGTATAAGCCCAACTCTTCTCCCCAAAATAGTAGGAAAAATTGGTTTCTATAGCCTCGGGTTGCAACCGGTTTAAGAGCAAGGAAACTTTGTAATAGAAAATTGTATGTAGCTTTGGCGAAGTGCATACTATGCAGCTAAGGGAAGAATCGT